TATAGCCTCTTGCATTACATGTGAAAGTCTCTCCCTGTCATGGTCCATTAAACAAGTTCACTGACTATAAAGAGCAGCTGTGCTCAGACCTTAAATGCATTCATAATATACAAAATTTGTCTGAAGATCTTTTCATACCATAGTAGGTACTCAAAGGTTATAAGTTCTATGTTAATCCTCTCCCACAACTCAAAACTAACACAATTATGCCATCCTGTATTCTTGCCTGTAACTCTTTTGAATTCACAATTTTCTCTAAATGTCACATAGAACTTGGAGATTTCTTAGAAAATTGGGAATGGAACCACCATTTGACCCAGCTATCCCTCTCCTCAGTCTATACCCAAAGGACTTAAAAAAGCATACTACAAGAACACAGCACAATTCACAATAGCTAAACTGTGGAACCAACCTAGATGCCCTTCAATAGATGCATGGATTAAAAAAAATGTGGCATATATACACAATGGAATATTACTCAGCAATAGAAGAGAATAAAATCATGGCATTTGCAAGTAAATGGACCGAGTTAGAGAAGATAAGGCTAAGTGAAGTTAGCCAATCCCAAAAAACTAAATGCCGAATGTTTTCTTTGATATAAGGAGGCTGATTCATAGTGGGATAGGGAAAGAGGGAGCATGGGAGGAATAGATGAACTGTAGATAGAGCAGAGGTGTTGGAGGGGAAGGGAGGGGGGGCATGGGGTTATTAATGATGGTGGAATGTGAGGATCATTATTATCCAAAGTACAGGTACGAAGAAACGATTTGGTGTGAATATACTGTGTATACAACCAGAGATGTGAAAAATCATGCTCTATATGTGTAATAAGAATTGTAATGCATTCCGCTGTCATATATAAATTTAAAAAAAGAACTTACCACATCAGATTGAATAAAATCTATTTACTCTACTTCCTATCCCCTCAACCTCAAAGTATTCATTTCCTGCATTCCTTGTTTAACTACTATCTCAGAACCATCTTGAGTTCCTCTTTCCACCTCACTCCTTTCAAGTTAGCAAGTCTTGCAGTTTCTATCTCCTAAATCTAAAATTTTTAAGTGTTTTGTCTCAGTTCCCCTTTACATGCTTAAAAATTATTAATGAATCAAAAAAAAACTTCTGTTCAGGTGGGTTTTTAATCAAATGTTTATCATAATAGGAATTAAAATTAAATTTTAAGATATTTATAAATAACAGTGCTGAGCCATTATCTTTTGATGTAGCTTACGAAGGATAACTTTTCTTTAAAAAAAAAAACTAGGAAAAATAGCATTATTTTACATTTTTACAAATTTCTTTACTATCTAGGTGAATAGAAAACAACTAAATTCTCATGTGCTTCTAAATTTAATTTATTGTGGCACACTATTTGTATGAAGTACATGAAGGAAATTTATCTTCATATAGCTACGTAGTTGAAAATGGGAATAGTATTTTCTGATATTTGATACCTTATCAAAACTTGACCAGAGGTGGTTTAAGTATTAAAAGTTAATTACAGTTGTGGATCAGAAACCACACTGTACAATGTATCTTTTGTACTTTTCCATTAAGACCAATCATTTGTAATTTTATGCATCTTGGTTATTTGAAGAATATTGATCACTGAATTAGGCAAATCTTTCTTATGTTTTTTATTTTGAGACAGTGTCTCACAAAGTTGCTAAAGGCCTCACTAAGTTGCTGGGGCTGATCTTGAACTTGTGATCCTCCTGCCTCAACTTCCTAAGCTGCTGGAAATACAAGTATATGCCACCACACCTAGCTGTAATTCACATTTTTAAAAATTTTATGAGAAGTGTCTGGGATCCAACAACCACATGGTGGCAGAACTTTTTTCAAAAATTCTGTTTTTTGATTGAAAACTCAAGATTTTTTTATTGTTGGCAATACTTTTAGTTATTTTCCTTGAAATAGTAGGTTCCCTTAATTCATTTTTGAGAAAATGTGTACTGGATAACCAAGTCTTAGTAGCCACCGGAAGTTGTGTTGTGGTGTTGTTTGGATTTTGGTTTTGTTCAGATTTTGGTTTTGTTCTTACAATACTGAGGATTGAACATAGGGCCTTGCACATTCCCACCTCTGGCCCTTTTCCTTCCTTCCYTCCTTCCYTCCTTCCYTCCYTCCYTCCTTCCTTCCTTCCTTCCTTCCTTCCTTCCTTCCTTCCTTYCTTCCTGGTCTTGCTAAGTTTCCCAGGCTGACCTGAAACATGCAGTCCCTGCCTCAACCTCCAGTTGTTCTTCTGTGTAGGAGTGAAGAGAGGTGCTATAAAAACAGTGACTGGTTTCACTTGCAGTTCAAACAGTTACACAAATTTTTCCTCATGAAAGCCATGGTACTTCATGTGTAGCAGATGTGCTGCTTCCTGCAAACTTCCCAATTTGTCATATAATATTAAAAAGTAGCATAATTAAGAGTCTAGATTTAATAAAAATCAATTTTTATTTTTCAACATGATTTTCATCAATGAAATTTTGTTTTCTACTGTGGAAAAGTGAAGAGTATAGCATCACTGTTACTGCTTTGATTGATGTTAATGTGCCATCAGTTTTATCCACCATTGTTTTTGCATTATCAGCACAAATATCCACCCAGTAAAAACTGTCAAGTAATATTTAAATAACATATTGGTATTATAATGAAAATAATTTTAACACAAATACCATGAAAGGGTCTTAAAGAACCCTAGGGTCCAGGTACTATACTTTGAAAATGCTTCCAAAACATCAAAGACATGTTGCAGTTGCCCACACCATTTTCTTAACTTCAGCCCTTTTAAATTTTCCCCTTTGTTATCTTTATAGTCTCCTACTGACCTTCCAGCCTTCATTCTGTTTTTCTTCCTGAGTTATCTTTTCTAGAATGTAAATATGATTTTGTTGATCACCTATTAAAATTTTTCAACAAGTCCCAGCACAATTGGATCAAATCCATTTTCCTTCACAGAACAAAGTGGCCCTTTATTATCATACCTACTTCACTAACTTCTGTTCCTATCACTATATATTGTTTTGCTGGATTTACTGATAATTTCCTAAACACATATTTTCTACGATCTCACATTTGCAAATGCTTTTCTTTCTACTTGTAATATTTCTAGTTCTCACCTGTTCCTTTCACTGAACATCATGTTATACCTACAGAATGTTGTATTAAAATCTGTTATCACATTTATATTGTTTTGTAGGTATTTTACTTATGTGTCAATTTTCCCTGAACTGTCTGTCTCTTTTGTATTCCTAGTTTGAATGAATTCCACAGAAACTCTTATCAAAATACAACTTAATTCTTTTTCTTCTAATATAATCCATAGGTAAAGTCAGTAATGAAGAGTTTTTTTTTTTTTAAAAAAAGCACAGATGGACAGAAAAAGGAGAAAAAGTAAATAAATACACATCTATATGTTCCTCAGCCATTTTAAAAAATTTTTTTATTATATTGATGGACCTTTATTTTATTCATTTATTTATATGTGGTGCTGAAAATCAAACCCAGTGTTTCACATGTGCTACTCAAGTGCTCTACCATTGAGCCACAATCCCAGCCCTCCTCAGCCATTTTTATTAGAAGTAGTAATATATTTTTTATTTCCATATTTCTTACTGATTAATAGAAGGGAACAAACATTTCCATTAATATATGTGTTCCTGAAAAATTGTAATGAATCACATTTTGAAAAATTGACATCCTTAATCCATAACTCTAATCATAGTAGGGTTTTTTCATAGTTAAAAAAAAAAAACTCTGAATATGGCAGCAAAAATGCCAAGATATTTCTGTTATTGAAAATAATAGTATTCTAAAATTACTTTTAAGTGTGTTTTCTACATTATTTTCTATTAAAGCTTGGTTGATTGTATTTTTTGTTTTAACTTAAAATAGTAAAATGACATTTTATTAAAGATATTTCTGTCAGAAAGTTGCCTAAAGAGAAGTTTTACTTAAGTAATCCTTTAATACACAGCCTTCACCAAAGAAGGTTTTTTGTTTTGTTTTGGTGGTGCTGGTGATTGAATCCAGGGTATTATGCATATGAGAAAATGAAAGAAATTTTTGACAGATTATATAATATATAAAACTTCAAAAGTTTAATTTTTCTTACATACCATTTATTATATGTAGTACATTTATACACATGCACATGTATTTTTTTTTCTGAATCCAAATTATCTGAGAGTAGATTTTGTAGATTAAACTTTCCTACCCATTGACCATTTCATAGTTCCTTAGTAACTTAATAGAGGAAATAAAATAATTTTTAGAAACTTATCTGTTTGGGCCTCACTAATTTATAATTAGCAATGAATTAGTTAACTGCCTTGAAACCTAATGTTTTAGAGCCCCTGGACTAGATATTGCCTGGTGAATTGAAATTGTGTACAAAATTTCAAAGGAAACTGAATCTTTCAGAGACCTTTAAGTAATTTAATCATTTCTATATAGTAGGTTTGTTGGTTATAAATTATGCCTTTAAAGTGTACTTATTAGTTAAAAGCCAGAGTGATTTTGGGCAAATTTTACTACTTAGGTTTGATTGAAACTCTCTCTGCTCTTAGGTCCGCCTTGCCTTAAAATTTTTAAGAATTGGTAATATTCTCTGTTCTCTGTCAGTGTATATATAACTAGAATGCCAGTGGTACCTACTGAGAAACAAAAGTGGAAAATTTTTCATTCCATTAATTTATGGAAAGTGATTATAAAATGTTAATAATTGTTACCTTAACTCTGAAATGGGTATCTGTACAGTTAGTAAATTTATAGGAATAATAACAAGGTGTATATTTAATTTGAAAATAGCTCCCTTTTTATTATATATGAAAAGGACAAATATAGTACAAGTTAAAAACCAAAGGATATATAGTGATTTTGCTCATAAATCTGTTTTCCAGCATTCATTTACTACAAACATTGTCATCTGTTAGTTCTTTTCTTTATTTCATAATTATTTTCAAAATTCTTCATTTTTTATCTAATTTAACATTTTCATATTTTTAAAGGTCCCCAGGTGCATCCAATTTTTCAACTTTACCAAAGATCTCTCCTTCATCTCTATCAAATAATTATAACAACATCAACAACAGAAAGTAAGCACTAAATCTTAAAAACTCTTTGTTTAATTGATCGCCCTATTTTGGTTGCAAAAAAAATCTCTTGTATCTAAAATTTAGGATAAAAGCTTAATGCATTAAACTGGTTTTCTTTTAAATTACTGGTCAGTTCTTCCATGAGTAATTTCCTAAGAAAGCAAGCACATTTATAAACTATTTCTTGATTTAATATGAATACTATAATAGTTAACTGAAAGAAATGAAACATTTTTGGAATTTTATATTCTAAATATTATTGAAATATATAGAAATTTGTTATAACTCATTTTTGTAGGACAGATATCAACTTCAGGTGTCATTTTGGAACTAGATGTATAATAACCTAAAATATAATATTTTTAAAGTGTTTATCAGTGCTTCTCAGCTGGAAAGCACACACAAATTTTTATGTTTATGAAAAAGACAATTACATTTTCTTAAAAAGAGGTTTAGAAAAACAATCCCTCCCCCCCACAATTAGTACAATGTGGAATCTTGGAATTTAGAGAAGTTATGTGAAAGATGTGCTGTATTGCTCTAATAAAAAAGGTTGAAAGTCATCTGAGCTTTAACTATAATACCTGACTATGGGTGTATTACTTTGAAAATTGTCATATCTATTTTATTGGAAAAAGTAAAAAGAAAACCTCATCATTTGTAGTTAGCCCAATCAATTTACTAAAAGAACTTTGGTCCAGAGATGAATATTTTCCTTTTATTTCATGGATCTGTGTGTGTGCGTTGTGGTTTATGTATTAGGTTAACAGTTTAGATAAATATTTTGACTATTTGTCCAGTTCATAAATGGCATCTGATAATTCTTATCAATAAATTCAAAAAGACTAACTTGTGAAATAATCTTTGAAATAACACCAGTAATTAAATTCATAAATTAAATTTTCCCTTAAGATTAATATCTTTAGTGGGGGACTTGGTATCTGGATTATAAATAGATGACAATAATTAAAATAATTTTAGAAAGAAAAAATGACAAAGGATTAATTTTACGTATCACAACAACATGTTATAATGATATAAAAATTTAGTACTGACCAAAAATACACATACAGATTGATGGATTCAGACAATCCAGAAGCATATCTTCTTATGTAAAAGAAGTTAATGTGATCAGAAAGCATTCTAGACTAATGACGAATGGGTCAGATTATCCAGGAAATTTCATTGAGAAATTGGATAACTCTTTTGTCTTTTAGAACTTTAAATAGAAGATAATTACCAGGCATATAAAAAGGGGGAAGTAAATGGAAAAAAAATACTATTACAAGTGAATTTTTTAAAAGAATAAATATCAAGCTCTAGAAAATAAGAAAAATGGACAAACAATATAAATGTGTAATAAAATAAAGGAATTAAACGTAAGATAAACATTTTAAACGTCATATTTATCACCAATTAGAGTTTTGTAAATTAAAACCATAAAAAAAACTTTGTTTACTTTCTCCTGCCTCAGTCACATTGAGAAACTTAAACACAATCATATTCATTCTTATAAGATTCTCTTTCATGGTTGGAATATTAGTACAGCTTTTCTAGAAGATAGTATTTACATCTTTATATCAGTAATTCATAAAGATACATATGTTTTGTGTATTAGCATTACACTACAATACTGAAAACACCATGAATATCCAAAGTTAAAGTGTAACACTTTCTTTTCTATTTAAAATTATATATCCACAGGCAAAAAGGATGAAACAGTATTATGCTGTAATTGTTTGTATTTTATGTAATATCTTTTAATTCATCAAAAGCAATTCCTGTATGAGATAAAGTCTTACTTGTGGTCCTACCAATTGTAAATCACTCCCACATTTGTTGTAAAAGAATTTATTTACAGGTATAACATGTATTTATGGTCATTCTTTGGAGAGCTTTTTAACATTGTTTGTATACTGCATTGAATATAGACTGTTTTGATTGGAATCTGTGTGTTTCTGTTTTTATCTTATTTCCTCCCCTACATAATAAAAATGGTAGTACAATCTTATGTCAAAACCTCTGACTACAAGAGTTTTAAACCAGGTTTAATGATTTTATTCCTATGACTAGATTTTATTTTTAGCTAACTAAATTCAAGACAGTAAAACAATCTTTTGTATTAGGAAATTTTAATAGTGAAAACCTACTGAGAATCCACATTCTGTGCTTATTTTTGAATTTAAAAGTAAATTTTATTTATGTATTACCTTTCTTAGGCACAGAACTTAAGCATTCATAGAATGGAAGGGAGTTTTTGTTGTTTTTACCTTTAAAACTCTGAACAAAAAGTTATTTTATATGAAAGTCTATTTCTTATATTTCCATTCTACTTGTGGAAGTTTAAAGCTTCAAATGGAAATAGCATAGTTTCTCTGAAAGTATGTTAATAGATAATGAATGGCCTTTTTAAATTAAGTGCATTCTTGAAAACTCATGTATGTGGAAATATTCTATAAGTATAAATTATATAGTAAAATCAATAGTTATAAGCTTATATGAAATATATTTACAAGTTCAAGACTTGAACTATCCTGTACTTATACATTATTAAGATATAAAACTTTCATTTCCAGAAATAAGAATATTATAAAGATAATACCATATGCTTGGAATTATTTAAAGTTAAAAAAGTTTTTATTAAAACTAATACTGTGAAGAGTCCATTGGTGAAGTACAGTTTGTTTACTGTATGTAATTTTATCTGTAGGTCCATAGTTGTCTCAATTATAATTTATGTGCATTTTTTAATGTCTGTCAAATTGTTTCTCTGGTTATAGGTTTATCACCTGCATAGTTCTCTCCTGCTATATTTGAGTTGATATATTACTAGCACTTTCTTAAAAATGTTTTAATGTATTTGTTTTCTGGACTATGGCATTCCACATGAGAACACATTTCTGTTTTTCTAAATTTATTTAAATCTCTCATTTGAAATAGAAATGATTCCCTGTATAATATTAATGCATAAACAGGAACTGTGGATTTGGAGACAGAAGAGTTAACCATATGACTCTTGACAAGTTCCTTAGCTGAGACAATTGTTTCATTAACTACAAAGTGAGCATAATTATGGTTGTTAGTATTAAAATATATATGATGTCAAGATAAGTTTTGATTTTATAAAAATCTGTTGCATTTTTAATTTATCTTCATTAAAGAGGATAGATTTATAATATAGAATTAATCTAGCATTGTATTAAAATTCCCATATACTTCTGTAAATTTATTTTTGCAAAGTAGCATAAGCTTAAAAGATGATAACTAGTTGTTTTTTTTTTTTAATGAAATAATTAGCAGATGTGGTCATAAAAGACTTCCATTGAGGCTTTCTTTAGGACCTAGGTTCCATGTATTGTTTTTGAAGTATTGTAGACAACTTCTAGTTTTGCTATTTTCCATGATGAACTTTAATATATAATTTAAAGTGCACATAACATATGAAATACAAGTGATGAATCAATAATATTTAAGTATTTTAAATTGATTGATTTTCATTATTATCATTGAGTATCTAAACTATTGCAGTCTTTGGGCAAGTTTTATACTTACCCTGTCATTTAAAACAAAGGCATAGATACCCTTTAAAGAGTCAGAAATCTGAATATATACTTTTGGAATGAGCATGTAAATGTGTTTTTAATGTTTCCATGGGAAGGCGGGTAGGCATGAGCCTGTGTTAGGGCATTCTTCCCTATGTGCTCTAGCTACTTACATCTTACTATAATTTTACCATCAGACCCATATAGATGCATATTATTTTTTTCTTCTCTATAATGTGTACAATGTACAGAAAATGCAGTTCTTAGACTATTTAAGTACACAAAAGACTTGATTTTTTAAGTTTAAAACAAATTTCTACAAATCTGAATTTGAATTGATCAAGGTTGCATTTCTTTGGGCACTGCTCTTTTGTAAGGTGGATTGTTTTGAGAGTTGGGTCTGTCTTTTTGTTTAGAGAAAGGAGCTTTTTCTGAAAAAATGCATAATGTTAATGTGTGTGATTTGGGATTGATTTGGTTTTATATTGTGTTTTACTAGTTCAGTTTGGAGGGGTATGTTTACATTTACTAAAGCCTTTGTTAAATATGCAATAGTATAGTTCACTTAAATTATAATAATCTAGGGATAGTATAGTGTATAAAATAATAAAATGAATTATTTTAAATTATAAAAAATTATATTGTTTTAAAATAATACCAGGAATAAATTATAGCCAGAGGAGATAAGTGGAGTTACTGATTCATCACATTTATTTGTAAACTGTATTTTATTTACACCATTATTTGCTTTTAGCACATGACCTTGATTCTCATTCAGGTTTGTTCTAATGAGTAAAAAGTAATGATTGAAAGTATGCTTTTCTGAATTATGTCCAAACTATCCATCATAAATATTTTATAAGATAAGTAAGCTATTAAAAATTAAGGGAGAATTCATTCTTTTCCACAAAATTTATTTTTTATTACGTGTAGAAAAAAGGAACCATTTAACTTATTTATGGACTTCTTAATTTTTTCAAAAATTATCCTCATTTTTCTTAATTTTTGATAATAGCTTTTTTAAGATTAACATTTATTACACTGTGAGTACAAATTATCCTGAGTTAATATTTATCTAGTTAAATAACCTGTATTATTCTACCAAGCTAAGAAAAACACAAGGTAAATAATATAGGAATGTACTTGCTTAGAATCACTTTTTGCATTCCTGATCACCTAGACTTTTTTCTGCATTTGAATACTAGATTTTGCTGGTCTAGCATAGAATTTATAAATAGAATCTTCAGTGCATTAGAACAGTGATGTCACAGTGGCCTTGGAAATCTCTGCTCTCACCTGTAACTAAAGCACAACTCTTCCTATTTCTACTGTTCTCACTCTACTGGATGCAAAAGGATGCAAAAGGAACATAAATGAGATGATTTATTGCTGCGGGTGGTGTTTAAAATCTGAATGTTTTAAATTTGATGGAGCAATGAAGAATGGAGCAAGCTGTGATGCTGCTCCTGTTAATCAATGGTAGAAAGATATAATAGTGGTTTGTATTGGTTGGTGTGGTATTTGATTGCAGTAATTTTGTTGATTGGATAAAGAGTACATTAATTTAGAGGGGTTAATTGATTTGAGAATCATGTCTTTAAAAGTACCTGAATTGTGTTTCTTAAAAGAAATGTAATAACTAACCATCTCAAAAATAAAATGAAGTATTCTGTTCATTACAACTATATTGTAATGTAATTGGCTGCATTTTAAATTTTTTTCTTTCTTCCAGTGTGAAAAACTCAAATTATTGTCTCCCATCATATACTGCTTATAAGAACTATGATTATTCAGAACCTGGAAGAAACAATGAACAGCCGGGCCTTTGTGGCCTAAGTAACTTGGGAAATACATGTTTCATGAACTCAGCTATTCAGGTAGGTCTTGTCAAACAATGTGAAATTCGTGTCTCGTGGAATTTATTGATATAAAAATAATAGATGGGTTTTTCATATCAGAACATGAGTATTAGATGTATTTGGGGAATTTATGTACACACATTGACTCATTCATTATACTACTAGTGGTAGAATATTATTTTCTTGTTCCTCAATTAGGTAGCATATGATTGACCATTTTGTAGAGTAGATTAAATAGTACTTCATGTAAAATTGTGGTTCTTAACAGAAAGCTTAGGCTCTCTAAGGAAAAAAGTAAGCTAGTGAGATCTCTGTCTTCAGTAGAAGTCTATTGCTTTTTTTTTTCCCTTGTCACCTCCTGTCCCTGCCCTTAACCTTAATGGGAAATTTTCAAAATGGGAAATTTTTGTGGACCTTTTCTATACATATTTTAACAAATCACTTTGCCTTCAATATCTTTTAATTTGGGGATGTATGAAATGACTGCCTTTATCCCCACCCCACCCCATTTTCATGGCACTTCCCTTTTCTTTCTATTCTATACCGCCTTCTGACTTAATTTGTTAAATTTGTACTTTGATTCTAAAGTAATAAAAGATGTATTTTAATATCACTGTCACTGTGTGTAAAATTAGAGATAGTGTTATTTCATTCCCCTTTTACAGATAAAATTCTGTGTTTAAAAAAGCCTAGGATAATGGAAAACTGACTATTCTTCATATTTGAATTTTCACCTTTTTTTTGTAAATCTTTTTGGTGAATTCTGAATTTTTAGTTTTAAGTCTGAATATTTTGTTCAACTCACATTTTAATATTGAATCTCCACTACATAAGAATTAACCTTCAAATATGTAGATAACATGTAGATCAAGAATTGATGACATTATAACACATCTTTAAGTGAATTATTTTGTACATTGTCATTAATCCAGTTGTCTCCTAAATTAACCATTGTCTTTATAGCATTCTTGGAAAATTAAAATTTAACTGGGGTAACTGTAGGCCAGGAGTAACCTTTTAGAAACTTGGGAGAAGGGGGAGACCTAATTAGTAATTTTCTGATTTCATTGTATAGAATTGAGCCACTCACAAAATAGCATATCTGTTTAAGTGGATATAATATAGATTAATAAATTCTTCTTTAAATCTTCTTTGAATGAGTAATACTGTTCATTCCTTAATGTGAATTAGTTTATTTAAAATTATTTTTCTAGTATTCCTGTTCTAGCTAAACAAAATAAGTTTTTTTGTTTGTTTTTTCTGGAAGTTAAGAAGGGGGAACTCATCTGAGAAGACCACGCTAAAATTATTATTATCCTGATAGCTCTTTAGATAACAAAAGTAAAATACTGAGTACTAAACTTTCAGAGAAAGGGACAGAACAGGCTTATTATAATTTGGTTTGTGTTTGGACTACCCTCCCTTGCCATAAAAATCCTTTCATTATAATCTCTGGAAAATATTTTATACAAAATGTGGTTGCACCAGTACCAGAAAAGCTTCTTTTAGGGTCCCAAAGTCATGTAATTTTTATATAACTCTTTACTCTCACAATAGCAAAATTACTTTGACTCCTGAGGCTTGATATTAGTTTGATGTTTTGTTTTGATAGTCTGGTATAGAAAATCGATCTCAGTGCTTTTTCATAAAGATTAAGAAAATATTTTTACAACATAGACAATAGAAATTTGAGTCTATCAGAAGAGAACCAGAGTGTTCAAGCTAATCATTCATGGAGGGTCTGGCCAGCCTTCAAATTAAATTCCTTATAAGGCAATAATGCTCTCTAGTTTCCTGTGCCTTTAACATAGTCTGTTTAGTTAATTTCCATATGATTAACTGCAGTTTTTCAAAATGGGTATTAAAATTAAATCATCTAACCAAGCAAGTGAGCTAGATTTAGCATTTGAATAGCTTCCTTATATGCTGTGTTTAAGGTGTAAGAAACTTCATTTTATTCATTTTTGCTTCTGTTCAAAGCTATTTTATTACAATAAATTTGCAGATCTACCACTTACCCTGTCAATATTTTTCACCATCCTGTCTTCCATTTTAATTGAGACATAGACACAAGAGTGATGTTTGTAATTTTTATGATAGTAATCATAAAGATTTTTTATGAAAATTTAAGCACTCATTATTTTAAGCAGTGGATATTATTTCATGTCTATCTTTTGGAAACTGTACTTTCTCTAAAATAAAATTCTGCAGACAAGTCAGAGAAGAAAAAAGTGACTTTTGTTTTGCTGCTTTTGACTTTTAATACAAATTTTGAGAATTAGGAAAGCTAGGACTTTAGTTTTGTTTTCTTTAAAATGCTATGGTTTTAAATTGATTTAAACATCAGCTCTCAAGCTGAAAATTCATTGTAAAAGGAAATACAAAATAATGCCTCTGCTTCACAAACATCCATGTTCATAGGTCCATAGATGAGAAGACTAAGAGATAACTAATAAAATAGATTTTATCAATAATTGTTTTCAAATACTGTTACTCAATTATGCTTTTTCCAAGTTTTCTTGTAATTTCTTTAAAATTGAAGACATTCATGAGCTTCTGAAAATAGTATGAAATAACATTTCTACTGATAGTGTATTTTAATATAACCACTTAAAATAATTCAGTGAACCTAAAAAGTGTGAGTGGTCACTTTAGTACATCAGCTGGTCTGATATATCTACAAAAAATGGTATGTGTGAATAGCATACCAATTTTGTATGTGTTTGAGAATGAGTGATGCTTAGTCCATTAGTCGCTTTGAGATAGTGAAATCTTTTAGTCACCCATGACTGAAAACTAAGCTAAATGTCATGTAACATAATTGTTATTATTTAATTATATCAGTACTCAGTATTTCTCTGATGTAATAATGGTATGAATATTAACTTTTTTTAGTGGATAAAGTATTGCCATGTGGTTTCAGTTTATTAAATTAACATTTATTTAACATCAAATATGTGAAATTTTTTTGGACTTGTATCCTGACCTTTATGAATGTTATAATCTGGACATTGGGTGACTTTTAAACGTTTTTGCTTTATAGCATCAAAACCTTTCTTTAACTTAAAGTTTAATTGTATCCCCAATATTTAAGCAGTGGTAGTAGTGAAATTGCTTTGGTTGGGTGGAGTTCCCACAACCCCATCTGCTTATCTTTATTTTCCTTAATTTAATGGCCCCAGAAACATTCTCATGGAATCCCAGGACTCGAGGGACAGTTTGAAAACCAAAGTCTAGCTTTAAAAAATGAACAGAAAAACCACATAAAAAAATTACAAGTTAGAGCAGTCCTAAGGAGTTATATACCGGGATTGAAAACATGGATGTCCTGCTTATTAACTGTGTTGCCCTAGACAAGTTATTCCCCAACTCATTTTTGTCTTCAAATGATAAGAAAATAATAGTATCCATATTTTAGGAGTTTTGCAAGTGTTTAAGTGAGTTGATAAATATAAAACTCATAGAATAGTGATTAGGTTGATACTATTTTTGTGTTAGTCTTTTTTTTTTTTAATTAAAAGAGTTAACCAGAATGACTCCTGAAATATTCTGTCTTCCATGGCCCCAACATTTGTTTTCCTTTCTTAATAATCTCTTATTCCATTTTGACTAGACCTTGTGAATGAGAAAAAGGAACTTGATGTATTTTTTTTTTCCCACTTAGTGTTGCTGCATTCATGGTTATTTATCATCTGCTCCATTTCTGAGCTATGATAGGTTAGGTTTCCATAGGCAAACTGATAGACAAAGAATACAATAAAGTATAACTGTTTATTTATATGCAGTCTTCAGGGTGCTCCAAAATTCAAAATTCTTCAGTTCAGGTTATCCCGGAACTCAGCCTCTTGAGTAGTTACCACCATGTCCTGGAGGTACAAATAATATATTTGAAAAATAGTTTTCTAGTGCCCCAAATCTATTACTTCATCTAAAGAATGTCCAGTTTTACAGTTTGCATTTTTGGAGGTAATTTGAATTAGTGTTAGTTCGGTAGATTCAGGAGCACTCCAACCCTTGTCTTTTTCATTGTCAAGGCCTACCTAGGAGGCTCATGATTGGCTTCCTGGAAGAAGCAGCTCTTCAGATGGATTTGAAGCAAGGGAATGATATGGTCTTTTCCACTGGAAAGCAGCACAGCGTAAGATGGTTGTTTTAAAACTCTTTACTTGACAGGGCCCCTTAAATAGATTGTAGGAAGTCATTGAGAAAAATGAAACTAATCAAGGACTTGTTTATTATTCTTGTCATAAAATAGAAAATGAATCGAGATTCCAAGCATTTTAAAAGTTATCTTTTTTTCTGTGATTTGTTGAGTTAGAAAAAAATTTATTAAGTTTTAGAGAATGCAACACTAGGTCTTTATTACATAGTAAAACTTAAAAAGTCCTTACTACAACTGTCATTTCTATGTTATACTACTTCATAGCTTGAATATGATTAAATATAACACTACCCTACTCTTATCTTGAGAACTTCTTTTTGCACTTATTGGAACACAAATTCTCAGAAGTCCACTTAAACAAATTAGCAACCTTATGTTAAAATACATATATATAGTTTCCATCCAAAAAAAAAAAACTTTACCCTCTGAGTTATATGACAGTTTTTTTTTTTTTTTTTAAGTTGAGGATCTTCTAGAGAATAATTTCTTTTGATAAACTGAGAATGTGGCTAACTAAAACTTCAAACTGTTTCTTTCCAGGCCAAGTGTTTAGTCTAATCCAGGATATTGTTTGAATTTCTTCCATGTTATGTGCCAAATCTTGCATAGCAAACTATCGTTTTAAAAAATGTTAATCAGGCTAAGAATATACTGGTAAAGCACTTGCCCTGCACCAATCCCTGAGTTCTTTCCCCAGCGCTACCAAAAATTTAAAAAAAGTGTTTCTGTGTGTATACACACGCACAGATATATTAAAAAATCTATTCAGTCATCTATCAGATGGAAAATCAAGTCTTCTTTCAATTTTTACAAAAGCAAAAAAAAAGAAAAAAAGTGGAGGGACAATCTTGCATTA